CTCACATTGGCGTAGCTCAGGAAAAAGATCTGGTCATTCGTTATGTGCGATAGTCCCGGTAGTCGTGGTTCCTCTGAGCCTCGATCAGAGATGTATTTGCGGTAGGCCTGAAATTGTAAGCGTGAACTCATATGCCAGTCAACGTCCAAAACATGCAATATAAGCTTCTTTCACTCCGGCGTTGTCCGCTATGTTCTCGCCCTGCGTCAGTCGACCGTTCACCTAAAATTTGTGTGTGTTCAAAACTAAAACTGTTCACTAAAACGTGTTCAAATTTTATAAGTTGTGTTTGCGGCAAAAGCAACGGAGAAAACGAAAAGTTTGAAACCGTTGGGACGTCGAACTCTATTACACTTACATGATGGACGCCATTTTTGAGATACAGAATATGACGAGTCACTGATCGATGTATGACATGGGCCAGAAACCTTTTTTCAAAGGCTGTCAGTACTGCTTTGAGACAAGTACTGTACTGTCTTTGGTGCAAAGATGAGTCTCAGAAGGATGAAAGGCGAATGACTTGACCAAGGCGTTGACTTATGACACTCCCCATGGACTGTGAGCAACCCATATGGCAAAATGAACACAGACGATTACGTTGATGCCAATTTCCGGAACAGTGTAGTTGTTATACTGTTCGATAATGCATTTGGTACGTTCGCGGAAACGCTCCAACGCTTCAGCCGTCCACCAGTCCTTTAAGTTGCCGTCCTTGTCGTATTGGCTGCCTTAATTAACATGTGCTCCGCATTATGCGTAATTACAGGGTGTTCAGCATACCTTGGTCATCAAAGCCATGCGTTATTTCATGACCAATGACCGCGCCCATCGCGCCGTAGTTGATCGCCCTGTTGAATAAGACACAGGTTAACTTGACACGAGGAGGAGTTCGAATAAATTCAGAAACCCTACTTCAGGTTGTCCCCGCTGAAGAATGGTGGTTGCAGAATGCCGGCAGGAAACGCTAAAAAATCCATATGACTTTCGTGGCCGAACTGTCGAAACTTTTCTGCAGAATTCAACTTACCAATGGCGTTCTTTTCCGGTGAATAAAAGGCATTCACCACCGCAGGGCTAGTGTCGAACCGGTTCCGATTGAACGGCTTCAGTAAGTCCAAAAATTCCTGCTCTTGGATCCACATTAACACCTTCAAACCCATTTCAAAGTATCCGTCATCAGAGGTGATGTCAATCTGTAAACGCTATGAGTTGAAACCGCATTTTTGAGTACGTGTAACACGCTATTCAATACATTTTCATAGTACTCGTCGAGTGCCGTCATATTGTTCAAAAATTCCGGATATCCAATATGGTTGAGCATGGCTTCGGCCTATAAGAGGCGCAGTATATTATTCGACCCCGCTGTCGTATCGAGGTAAATAGAATTTATTGCAAACTATTTAGTCACAAAAGATTCATAAATCTTAATATAGTTAAGCGGTATTTGTGCACTGACTCCTCTCAGTAGTATTAGGAACGAACATGCAGTTAAGGCAAATGCCGGTGTTGAGTGCAAGGACATCCTTGTGTCGTAGGAGACTGAGCAAAGCTGTGACACGAGTAATTGGACAGCTCGACGTCAATCTGTCATGCTTGATGTGAGTTTCTTTTAAAACTAGGGAACTGGCGTTCACGTTCTTGGAAAGTCTGTCACTGTAGTTTCACTTCGCACGTAAGAGGCATTCCACGTTCATTTACAAGACCTTAATTTTACCCAATTTACCCGCTTCAAGGCTTTGAGAAAAACGTAGCTTGATACATGCACGATTCTAGCGACAACCGTTGGGTTGCTCGTAGGAACAGAAGGTATGATTTTAGATGCGTGCGTGCTATCGTCATAGAGATGACATCGATTAGGTTTTGCTATGTAACAAAATGTGCCGGGACACAACTGTCATCTCCCTCGTGTAGCGGCCTGTGAAAATGAATGAATGAACGAATGAATGAATGAATGAATGAATGAATGAATGAGTGAGTGAATGAATGAACGAACGAATGAATGAATGAAATTGTCATGACTTATGCACAAAGGTGAATTTTCGCCTGATCGTGGGATCGTTCTACGTTTTTCTGACAACGTATATTTCCGTTCAGAATAATGATTTTAAGTGTGCAAATTCACAAATGAGGAACGTGTGCAACGATAGGAAAATAAAGCTACCACTTGTTATAGATGCCTGAGAGCATCGAGATTATATTTTATCGATAGGAAAATAACTTTAAATAATCACTCGCTACAGAGATATATGATTTTGCGTATGAATTGGCTAGTAATTTAACCTGCTCTATTTGGCCTTTCGTAGAATTCGCCCATTTGGATTTACAGAATGTAAAGCAACAATGAACATTGGTAACGGCAATGATAGCAGAAACGTAGTTACCACCAAGAAGATTGGACGTTGTCAAGATTTAGAATGGACACCGAAAATTCAGGGCACTCATAGCAGCCAACTGGACGATGACTGAAAGAGAATCATATGCTAAGAATAAGCATCATTCAGACCTAAAGTGTGCAATACCAGCAGTGCTGGTGCTTTTCTGTTTTTGAATATCCAAGTGAGGTAAAAAACATTATGTTGCACTCAACTGCAGTTCCATGGTGAAAGGGTATGATTTAATAGATACACACTTCTTCGACAAATATGTGCCACATACAGAGATGGCTCGTTTTATAGTATTCTTCAGGGTGAAAGAGTCTCCAGGATTATACAGTTCTTTCCTGTTAATGCGCCAGTTAGATGATCACAACTTAGGTGCTGAAACGCCAACGTGAGTTAACGGCTAGCGCGTCTATGATTGCTATTAGCCCGACTTTTCTGCAGATCAAAAGGTCGCCACACACGGAGATTAAAGTGACCACTACAGTTATCATCGTCTTTAGGGTCGTCAATAAGTCTAGTAGTTTTCGTGTAAAGGGTAAAGGACAAGATGAAGAAATTTGGCCATTTAACTGAAGTGATCCTCCATCGTTCCAAGAGGGTATGAAATCTGAATGGACTTCGTTGGACAGATTCTCTCTAACAGAACAAAGGATCTGTTGGTCGTTTGCTGTTCCCCTTGGCTAATGGAGCTTCAGATAGTTTTCTCTGAGTTGGTCACTCTAGCCAAGTTACTGTAACCAGTATCAGAGACTCACCTTGACAATAGCGACGTGTTTCGTTTGGTTGTCCATCCAGTCGATGGCATTTACGATGCGGACGAACGCCTCTCGCAGATTGGCGATCATCGCCAGCGCTTCGTCCTTGTCCTTCTGCCGAAAGTAGGCGTCGACGTAGAGCGCCCCGGTGGCCATCTCGAACCAGCTGACGATTGTTGGAACGCACACCTTCCAGCGAGACGGACGCGCCTGCCTTCCGGCCATGATGTACATCAAGTCCTGTAAACTGCATACCCGTTTTGACACATGCACGATATCCGTCGTTGAAAAAAGTACCTGAAACGCGTCGTCGAACCTTTCGTCCAACAGGGAAGTAAACGATTTGATCAACCGCCAGATGACGTAATTCGTAAGTAGCCTAGTACGGTTGACAGCGCTAAAACGGCTGCAGCAAGGAACAACGTTTGAACCTACTTTTTGTCCGTGATCTCAAGAAACATACTAATTTTGGCAAGATATTCAGGATCAGAAACGATCACGTCGGTTTCTTCGTCGTAAAACTTTTCCCTCACCACCTCTGGCAAAATGTAGTTGAAGAACTGATCCCATTTGATCTAAACCGATCGTTTGCAAATCAAGCGTCTGCTCTTTTTATCTGATTTTAAATTTGAGGTATACGGTCAAGGTTTATACTGACACGGTTTAAAGTAATGTTACTTATATCTTTACTGCAGGGGTGGGGGAGGGGTCCTCCCAGAACAACGTTTACTGATCACATATACTGTTTTTAATATGTAATGCTAATTGTTTACTTGTTTATGTAAGCAAATTAGCTTATATACAAAGTTAAACTTCATGGATTCTTCAGAGGGCACCACAATGGCAGATATAATGAGAGAGAACGATTGATCTTAATCATCCAAGTGCCGAAAAGATGTCATTTTCCATTCATTTCCATCAAGAGTGTCAGTGTTTTTCGCTCCTTTCTCCCCGTCTGCTCGTTACACCTCATACCCCTTTCAAGGGATAGATTTTTGTTTGTCAAAAGGATTTTGTCCTGCATTTCTCGGCAGCGACTGCTGAAGTAGTCTCCTAGAGTCAGATATGAAGAAGTAATATTTATACCTGAAAATGACGCGTCAGGTGAGTGCTAAAGCGGTAGCAATTATTTGCGCATCAAACGCTGAAACTGTTGCCAAAGCAAAGACATCAGCCCGAAACGCTAACTGCATTAGAACTAACTCTCGTAGAGTTTGATGAAGTTGGTTTACACAGATGAGTGCCCAAGAGTTTATAACAAAGTTGTCTCTTTCAACCTTTGACTTTCCCAGATCCATCCTCAAAGCTGAGGTGGCGTTGGGGGCTTTATTACTGGCGAGGTTTTCTCGCCTCGTTATGGGATCGTCACAAGGTCATACTTGGGTATTTTACAGAGACCGGGGATGCCAAATCCGTCGCCAGCCACGCCTTCATAATACCCATTGCTGCTTGTCCCGGCTGCTTATCCACGCAGATCACCTCAATGACTGTGAATAGGTCTCCATCCGCAACCTGTGGATGTGCCGGTTGGCTCGCAGCTGGACTCCATTTTCTGCATTAGTTTTCCAGACCCTCAGGACTAGGAAATGCAGGTCGTTCTTTTGCCGTAAACGCTGTTCTGAAAAGATTTGGAACGAAATCCATGTGAACGCTGCTTGGAGTATGTCAAAATAACACTGTGATAATCAGTCAAACGAACTTAAGGATCACCGGATAGTTACTGGGGGGACTGGTATGGACAGACAGACGTTGCTCAGAAAGCATCAGCACTGTTTTGTGCAATCTTTCGACGAGTCTTCGCTTCTGTACAATTGGTTGACTGTAGGATTATATTGCTTCTTTCCATGTCGTTCACGAAATAATTCCATAATTGCCATTTTAACCTCCGTGCGTGTCGACTCCTTGATCTTCAGAAGAGTAGAGCTGAAACGCCACCTGTTCCAAGCGTCGGCATTCCATCGTCGCTTATAGATTAAAATGCAACCAGTAAGAAACGGTGGTTAGTTTCGAAGCTGCTTCGCACACGGCGAATGATCGGGGAGGAACTGTCTGCTGACGATATCTGATTGGCTGACAGGCCACACTAGGAAGAACCCGTTCAGTGATGAAAGACTGATTGGCCCGTTGGCAGTCATGAACAGTATAAAAGGGACTATCTCTGTGTATTGGATGTTGACCACGATGTTGTCGTGGTATTGACCACACTATTCGTGATTGTGTACTTCTTTTTTTGTAAAGGTCTTTGCTACGAAAGTAGTCTATCACAGCAGTCGAGTGTTATGATACAGATGATTTCCCTCTAATCATTCCATTTGAACTTTTTACTGAAACTTTCTTTTTCTTGACAGAATACACGGCATTGATTCAGCTATTGCTAACTACTAGAACCTCATTAACTGACGACCGTTTCGTGGTTCAGACAAATCCTTATGGCTAAGTAGCGGTTCTCAGAGTACAGTCTTCTTCGTACCTTGTCGTGTTAAGCAGCTATGTACATCCATAACTGACAAATTGTAAAGTTAGCATCAGTTTTTAAAAAATAATTTCTAGAATTCCTATTGAAGTCACATTTGGACTTGCTTGAAATCCATTCTTTGGTAGTCACGATTAGGTAGCAATTTAGGCAAAATATAAAACCCCAATGTTTTTGGGACCTTTCGATGCCGCCGCTGAAGATATCACATTAAAAATATTGATACTGGATTGAAACGGCGCAAATACACAGCATAGAGAAATAAACAAACAACCATTTCTCACTTTATGCCAGCAGCTTGCTGCACCGTCCCTTGCTTCTAGACGCCTAAACGGGGGCCAGTTAGGCAGGCCACAGCTCCATAGTGTTTAAGCGCCTGCAGTGCATAAGATGCACGACCGCGTCACAAATTGGAGTTGAATAAAAGTATAATCTATCTCTACTTCTTTCTATATTAAAGTACATAATTTTATTCAACTCCAGTTTGTGACGCGGTCCTGCGTCTTAGGCACTGCAGGCGCTAAAACACCGTGGAGCTGTGGCCTGCATAAATGGTTTCCCTATGCGTCTAGATTCAATGGAGCGGTGACAGTGTAAAGTGAGATATAGATTTTTTTCACACTGTGCATTTTTGCCGTTTCAATCCGGTATCATCATTTTTTGTGAAATTAGGTAGCAATTTATTTATTACTCTTACTCATACAGTACTTGTAACCAGAAATGTTCCCTATGAAAAGTTTATTCAAATTAGAAAAATCAGTTGATCCAAGTGCTCAACCTTACCAGAGGCATATTTTTTTTCAGCTGTTGAACGGATCTGCGGTTGTACATCAGCGTATGATTCCGCCTTTGCTCGTCAGGACTGATGATCAACGCGTAGTTGCGCTCGAACTGTATCAACTTCTGAACCTCGTCATAGAAACTGTTATTCACCGGAATTCCTTCGTCTTCCGCAATCAGCTTGCCGATAGTGATCATATACTTTTCATAGGCCTCGATTACCTTTCCGTACAAGGTGTCATTTAGGTAGTAATCTCTCATTGAAGCGCCCAGTCCGAGAGATCCTTGATGAATCTTCAAAATGCCGGCAAATAATTAATTATTTCGTGATAAATTAAATAATTAAAGGCAGCTTTTAATTATTTACTGAGAGAATGTTGGCAGTGGTGTTTTTGGCGTCCGCGTACACGTACAGGGTGAAGAATATGTCGAGAGAGTAATCCCTGCGGATTTTGCCCAGCAGTTCCGTTAAATCAAAGGAATCTTTACTCCAGTTTCCGTGCAGCATAGGCCATCCACCGACCTTTCTGATAATCTCAATGATATGCTTGCTTTTCACTTCGTTTAGGGTAGCTGAAAAACGTAAATGACGTACAAAACGAAAAACAAAAAACACGTTTGTTTAAATGTCTCTGGAATCAAGGGGCTTACGAAGCTATGACAAAAAGAAAATATGCTTTTCATTAAGCATCAGCGTACAAGATAGCTTCTGATGCGCATAATGCGCATATTTCTTACATCCTTTATCCGACCTGCCTTCGTCGTCTGTGAACACGCCAAAAATGCAAGTCGGCGATTCTTCAGTTTCTTCTGTTCTTGGGCATTTTCTGGCGAGTTCATCATGAGTACAAAGCGTCGTGAACTACGATCGATGTCTACCAAAAGTTCAGCCACACACACGGATTCCGAGACATGGAGGAATGTAAGAGATTTCGGTTATGAACAAATATATAATTGGTGAGAGATGAACATATGGCATGAAGAATT